GTGTGTGTGTGTGTGTGTCCCTGTTGACTTATGGTGGGCCCCATGAATTTCATAGTGTTTTCTCATGGAAGGAATAATCAAGAGGTGCTTTTGCCAGTTCCTTCCTCTGAAATCTAGTCTACAGCACCTAGTATTCATTGGTGGTCTCTCATCCAAGTACTGACCAGTGCTGACCCAGCTTATTTTCCAGGATCAGATGGGATCTAGTGCTTGAGGGTATTTAGGCCTCTCTAACCATTGTTTTCTTGGCTTCTTCCTCCAGCTTGTCTCTGGAACATCTCTTTCCAACTTACCAGAACTCAGAAAAGTTTTTTTTTTTTTGGAGGGGCACTGCTACTTCTCAGATTATTTATTCATTCATTCATATATTTATGCAAAACAAAAACACATAACCACACCAAACTCAGAAGTGTCAGGTATTCTATTTTTTTTTTTAAATGCGAAACAGTACAACTGTTTAAAAGCAAACCTTGCAATCTCGTTGTAACTGTAAAAAGAGGCTAGGGAGGATGAAACATAAAGGAAGGGAGATAATTGTAACCATGAATGGGCTGAAACTGCCTAATTAGAATGCAAATCATTTCATTTTTCATAACATAGAAATTAGATCTCAGATTTGAGGACGTTCCATACAGAATCATAGAATTGTAGAGCGGGAAGAGGTCACCAGGGACATCTAGTACAACCCTCTGTTTGAAGAAACACACAGCATTTCTGAGACATGCCAACTCAGCCTTTGCAGAGCTTTTTAGGGTTTAAAGCTCTGCAAAGAAGGAGACTCCACACAGACACACACACACACACATCCTGCAGCAGTCCATTCCTCTGTTGAACAGTAAAGAAACTCTCTGAAGATGCCAGCCACAGATGCAGGCGAAATGTCAGGAATACATTCTTCTAGAACACAGCCTCACACCCCCAAAAAACCCACAAAAACCTATGGATGCTGTCCATGAAAGCCTTCGACTTCACAGCAAAGAAACTCTTAGAATCATAGAGCTGGAAGAGACTTCAAGGGCCATCCAGTCCAACCACCTGCTATGCAGGAACACAGAATCAAAGCACACCCAACAGATGGACATTCAATCTTTGTTTAAAAACCTCCAAACAAGGAGACTCCACCACTCTCCAAGAGAGCATCTTCCACTGTCAAACAGCTCTTACTGTCAGGAA